TATTTTTTTATATCTGAATCGTCAACACAGGAGAGAATTGTATCCATACTACTTAGATAAATTATTTTGCTAGAATCTATAAAAAAAATATTTCATATTCACAACATACAAGGACTAGCTGTAATATTCATCATTACTCGAGTACTAAACACAAAATAAATTTTATAATTCATTCAATTTTATCGATTTTAGTAATAAATTATAAAAAAATAAACTAAAAAAAGTGACATGCCCGGGATCTAATATATTATATTAATTAAAATATAATATATTATATAATATAATATAATATATTAATGTAATATACATATATATTTATGTATTGGAGGTGATATTATATGACATTAGTAATCTCTTACAAGTTTTCATAAGTATGGATTGTTTCCACCCATTTTTTTTAAATTAAAAAATTTCATTGGTTTAAATGGAAAATGAAAATTTAATTTTGCTCTACTGAAAAATAAGAAATTGGGTAATACGCTTTTTTGATCTTAAATCGTCGATATGTTCTTATATGTTCGTATATTTTTTATTAATTTTGTATATTTAAAAAATAATTATTTTGGTACATTTGTAAAATATCTTCTTTACCCATTTAAAACATAGAACTAAATTATAAAGGCTATAAGTATCTTCAATTTAAGAATTGCAAGTATTTAATCCTATGTTTTTTTTTCAATAAAACTATAACTTTGGTGTATTTTTAAATCATCAACATTCGTAATGAAGTTATCAAATATACATTTATTAATGTATAATTAATTTTAATTGTCAAATATTTGCATGGGTAAATATGAATATTGACAAAATTAAAAGCCATCGGCCTTTGAACGTCTCCTGATAGTTACTTATGATAATTCAGTTATTTCTAATAAAAGTTTTTTCAATATCTATTGTTTTTATTTTCATAGTTTTACATATTTAATAATTATATTGTATTAATAATTACAACGTTATTATTATATATTTATGAAATTAATTAATTTCATAAGTGTAATATGTAGATAACCAACAAAATAATTTATTAAAAAAGAATGTTAATCACGCACAAAGACGTATTTAAATTAAAGCTAAGGGCGGCTATATTTCAAATTACTAATTTTTTTGATATTTTTAATACTATAAAATTTATAAAAAGCTGATAAATAATGATAGCATAATGTACATACTAATTGGTATTTAAAAAATAATAGTTTATTTTAAAAAAATTTGTAGTGGTTGGAGGAAAAGCACGATGAAAAAACAAATGTCCTTGATCAACAATATATTTTTTAAATATGTATAATGACATGTGGAAGTCGTTTGGGAAACATTTTTATGCGAGGTAGAATCAGGTTTTGTGAAGTTATTTATTGTAATTTCAAATACCATGTTAGTTTATTTGAAAAGAAGTAGTAATAAAAGAAAAAAATCATACTTTTAATGACTTATTAATTATTAAAAGCAATAACGTAAACGGGAGGGTTAGAGTATTGCAACCGCTCCGAAAGTATATAGGATGTTTGGATCTTTAGTCATGACATTTTTTTTGCTCATTTGAGTTTACTTAATTAGCGATTCAGTGTAAAAAAATAGTGGTCATGAAAAAAAGGCCTATGAAATAAATAACAAATGTAAAGTATTATGAAATGTACAAATATTTAATAATTGTTCATATTGAATGAATTATTTATGATTAATACTTAACAATTTGATTTATATTATTATTTTTAATATGAATAATAACAATAATTACAATTATTTACTAAATTTCCAATTTTTTTCATCATATATTATTCATTTTTATATAGGAACTTTTACGTTTGAATCCTAAGGTGAAAAATACTGGAAATTCTATAGGAGCCAAAGTGAAGCCTACTGTTTATACTAAATCTGACCGACGTCATTATAAACGTAACTCTACATTTTGTGATGTGAGTATTTAAAAAAAATTTTTATGCTAGGTTATTTATATTTAAGTGGATTTTATAGGACACTGGTTGTAGTGGAGTAAAGTGCGGTAGCAGATGCAAATCAAATGGCCTCCTAAATAACTGGGATGATGTAAAACCGACAACTTTAAGTGAAAGGGCTGCACTAAGAGAAGCAGCTAGATGTTTGAAATGTGCTCATGCGCCATGTCAACTATCTTGTCCCACTAGCATTGACATTAAATCGTTTATAACTAGTATATCTAATAAGGTAAGTTTAGGTATTTGTTTTGTAAACTTTAAATTGTAATTTAAAGTACAGTCTTTTAAAATTTATTACGTGCAGAATTTTTANTTTGTCTTTTAAAATTTATTACGTGCAGAATTTTTACGGCGCAGCTAAAATGATTCTGTCGGATAATCCTGTGGGGTTATCTTGTGNGTACAGTCTTTTAAAATTTATTACGTGCAGAATTTTTACGGCGCAGCTAAAATGATTCTGTCGGATAATCCTGTGGGGTTATCTTGTGGTATGGTTTGTCCAACTGGAGAGCTATGTGCTGGATCATGCAATTTGGAGGCTACTGAAGAAGGTGCTATAAATATTGGAGGGTTGCAACAGTTTTGTGTAGAGGTAATCATAAAATGCTGAATTATTTGCTATATATTATCGATTACTCTATTTTTAATAAATAATTAAAAACAAAGTTGTAGAAATAGTATTTTAACAATAAAGGTTTTTGAAACCATTTTTATAATATGTGAAATACAATTTTTTATCCAGGCCTTTCGTCAAATGGATGTACCTCCAACTGTGGATCATAATATTAAACTTGTCAAAGATTCAAAATTTGCGAAAATTGGTTTATTAGGTGCAGGACCAGCCAGTATTGTGTGTGCTACATACTTGGCTCGTTTAGGCTACACGAATATAACAATATTCGAGAGCCGAGCTTATGCAGGAGGTCTCAGGTATAGTTTCGACTTTTAACGAGTTTTTTGTTTAACCGCTACTTATTTTTTGTATTTATTTATTTAGTACAACTGAAATACCACAGTATAGATTACCATTCCAAGCCGTACAATGGGAAATAGATCAGCTACTTAAATTAAAAGAACCTAGCAGTGGCAAAGCAAGAGTACAAATTGAATACTATCGAAAACTTTCTAAAAATGATTTAACTCTAGAGGTTATTATAATTTAATTAGATATTAGTCCTCATAAAAAAAAAAATTGTTTTTCATATTAGAAAATGCTTAAAGAGATTGGCTTTGAAGTGATTTTTGTGGGCATTGGTCTGCCCGTAGCGAACGTGCCTAAATCTTTTATAGGAAGTCATGTTGGTATTGGACCAAAAGAAGGTTTCTATACGTCAAAGGCATTATTGAATATCGTAACAGCATTTAGTAAACGTTTTGAACATAAGGATAACAGTAAATATAATGGGAATGGTAATTTTATCTTAGATAAATTTACCAATTTAATAATTTTTTCATGCCTATAAATTATCTTTTAAAATTGAATTATATTAAATTCTTTGAATTGAATTTTAGATTGTGACGATACTAATATTATTTTACCAAAAATGATTGGTAAAAGGGTGTTGGTATTGGGCGCTGGTGATACGGCCATGGATTGTGCAACAGCTGCTTTGAGATGTGGGGCTCGTCGCGTTTGGTTGATATTCCGAAGGGGAACTAGTGACGTAAGAGCTGTACCCGAAGAAGTTAGTAAAATATTTGAGTAACAATTGTGCATATTTTTAAAAGAATATTAATTCTTAGTTTTTGTATAGGTGCAATTAGCTGTAGCAGAAAAATGCGAATTTGTACCTAATTTATCACCAGTAGAAATATTATTCAGCAAAGAAACACTAGGAAGTAAAACTTTAAAAAAAGTGTGTGGTGTCAGATTTCGACGAACGGATAGGTCTGATCAAGATGATGATAAATGGATTACAACAGATCAAGAGTGTATTTTAAAGGCAGATTTTGTTGTATCTGCCTTCGGGTCGCGGTTAACCGGTGACGGAAAAGAAAAGGACGATTGTAAGTAATGAAAATAAGTTTATGAAGTTTATGTCAAATTTATAAATTTTAAAATATATATGTTTTTGCTACAAAATTATTAATTTACTAGCTGTTTTAAATGATAATAAAGGTTAAATTGAGTATTAAATATTGCATTAACGATTTTGTATTCTTCTTACTCTACAGACAATATATTTGTTGCTGTATATTATTTTCTGGATAAAAAATAAAAAATTGTTTTATAGGGTTTTTATCTTTATTATTTATTTTTATCAAACACTGAAGATTTTTAACATAAGGGAAACTAAGGGCTTAGACCCCCTATTACATACATATTTTTTTATGAAAATATGTACGTTATTAAAATAAGTATTTTTAAAGGTGAGAAAGAAAATACAATTAGCACACTCAAAAATTGTGTTCTAGGTGCGCCTATTATTTTTAAATAGGCATTCAATTATAAAATCAGTGTATTATTTATTCATTTTTCTTTTTAGTGATTGAAGCTCTGCAGCCAATTGTTCAAATTGATTCACAGACGGGATGTATTCTAACTTGTGATGAGACAACAAGATGTATTAAAAAAATTAATAATATTGATCAAAGTGATGCACCACCAGTTTGGTGTGGTGGTGACGCAGCCGGTCGATCTGAAACGACTGTAGAATCGGCAAACGATGGAAAAACTGCTGCTTATTATATGCATCAATATCTTCAAGTATTTATATATTATCCCTTATTTTTACTAAACTCGTAATACTTAATGTTTTCATTATAGAAACTTTATGCAACTAAAAATAATATAAAAATCAATCCCGAAGATATTAGTTGTTCATTACCCGGGTTTAGAACTGCCATTGATGACGTTGATATAAGTGTAGAAATGTGTGGACTTCGATTTGAAAATCCTTTTGGTTTGGCATCTGCACCACCTACAACTAGTGCTGCAATGATACGAAGAGCTTTCGAAGCAGGGTGGGGATTCGCTGTTACAAAAACATTTGGTTTAGAAAAGGTAAAATAATATATACAGAGTGATGTTGGCAGGCTGATGCCAGATAGGTTGTCTCTTGAGAATCAAAACGATAACACAGAATTTTAGGTACGCAAATGTATAATTCGAAAATGATGCTCCTGATATATAGGCTAATATTTTTAAATAATTATTTAAAAAAACATCTGATCGATTAAACGATTTGTAAATTATAGTTTTAGAATATAAATTTTTAATATAGTTACATTGAGATTAAAGAAAAAAATGGTAATAATATAATACATTTTTAGAAGAATTGTAGAAGAAGATAAATTATAAACATTGAATATTTCAAAGTTATAGTAAAAAAATAATAATAATAAACCATTATTCGTAAAATACCACTAATTATTATATTTATGGTATTATAACCAAATAAATCCTCTCTGTGTTTGATTAGCAGAATGGAAACATTTTTTACAATTTGCTGATCATTTTATAACATTTTTTTGTATTAGCCATTATATATTATATACGATATAAAATGATTACGTAAAACAATTCTTATTGAATAAAATATTTTTTTATAATGTGGCCATAAAAAACCCTTCAAAAACCCATTTGTCTATTTTTGAACAATTTTATTTTGGAATGGAAACATTAAAAAAAAACCCAGCACAGGGGGGTCGCGGCACAGTGGTGACGTGGCATAGTTGGATCAAGTATAATGATATCTGACAGTGATTAAAATCACTATCAAAAAAAAACGCTTCGATGCAAATCTTTAGATAGTGTTTAATTTTAAAAAA